TTTTATATGTATAAATTGATTAAAAATTTTCATATATATATATATATATATATATATATATATATATATATATATATATATATATATATATATATATATATATATATATATATATATATATATATATATATATATATATATATATATATATATATATATATAATCATAATTAATGAGTTTTTCTTTCATTTTAGTCTGCATCTTCTATAAATCATCATAATCATATATGATAGTCATTATTTTCCAAACAAAAGAGAGATAATTATTTTAAAATGTGCTCAATTTCTTGTTATCGTTCAGGTTATGATTTTTGATGTTAAACTCAAGATTCAGATTCAAAACTTGAGAATGTGCAATGAACTGCATTAATATTACAATTCTATTCCGGCAATTAACCTAAACTCATCAGCAGCATTATTCTATAATGAATGTGTTTTTAGTTAGAAAACGCCTTTATGTTTTGCATGTCCACCTTGTGAACCTCGTGTGTGATGTGTGTGAATGGAGGGCTGTGTGATGGGGAGGAGGCTGGAAGATCTCACTGCTGGGACTCTTCAAAGACAGTCATACTAAATAAGGGAGAGGGAAAAAAGCGCCGCGCCCCCTTGTGAAGCCAATTTTACGCACCCAAACAAACCCCGAGAAAAGACATTTCGGATAAAACGCAAAACTCCCCGCATTTGGGTTATTGTGCTAATTATGATTAAGTAGTCTTATTGTTGTTTTTACTTTAAAAGCCTCCGCGTAAATGCATAGTATTGTTGTTGCGTCCACGAGGAGCGCCTTTTGTCTGCGCGCGCGTGACGGCGCAGGGAAACCCCACGTCCGCGCGCGTGCATCGACGGTGACGTATCATGTACAGTCTGACAGCGCGACACCGCCGAAGGTGCAAAACAAAGCGCATGGAGTCCGAAACCACCGCTCATGACGCTCGTGGGAATAATCGGGAATTATCTAAGCCTTTCTCTCATTTGCATCCCGTGATTTGTGTGCATTTCCACAAAAAAAAGCCTGAGGCGTGACGACATCACGGGTTCGACACCTGCGAAAGCAGCGCCACCACGGAATTAAATGAAACTCTTTATTTAATAAATCCTCAATAGTTTATTCGCTTCAAAATCACAGTAGTTTATAGTCCTGCTCGAGTGCGTAATTAAGTTTACCAGTATTTGACGCTGCCTTATGTTAATGTTAGTTGTTGTTGGTCTCCATCGAAACGGGAGGAGCGCGCGGAGCCACAATACGCATCTCTTTTCTTCGAAGTACCCTTATTTCTTCGCCGAATAAAAGAAGAGAAGAGCTTTAATTGGACAAAGGGGATACCCGAAGACGCGGCGATGCTGAAATGAGGTGATAGCGCTTCAGGCACACACGCAGAGTTCAGCGTCCCACATGTCACGAAGTAAATGAGTCCACGAGACCACATTTAAGGGATTACGCGACGCAAAGAGAACACGATTTGAGTTTGGGAAAGTGTTGTTTGGATACACGCATCGCTCGGCGTTCCCGCACGCGCGTCTGATGAAGTTCTCCAGAGCGCGGAAAGAGTGCTGAGAGTGGCGCGAAGGTCAGCCTGAGCTCCGGACTCTCCGCGGGACTCCGAGGATGCCGGTGCGAAGAGGACACGTCGCGCCGCAAAACACTTTCCTCGACACCATCATCAGGAAATTCGAAAGTCAGAGTAAGTTCGTGGTTATTTACGCTATTTTAGCGGTATTTATTTGGATGTTACCTTGGTTGAACCGTGTTTTAAGGTAAATCTTTATGCCTTTTAGAAAACACCTGCGTGGATTTTAACGGTTACATTTAAACGGTTAAATCTTAACGGTTAAATCCCATTAGGACTCTTTACTGTGTAATATTCTTGCCAAAACCTTAAACCATGTAAATGTCATGGTAAATGAGACTAAAGTATGAGACTATATTAATAATATGCTGACATAATGAGATATTTTAACAGCCTTCAGTATTTTTAGATGTTGAATATTAATTGTACATTGTCGATTATCCACTTTATAATGCTATTTACAATGCCCATTATGAATGAGTAAATAAACCCCATTAAGTCAGTGAATGTTTAAGTTATTTACTTTATTTCACGTGTATTTTATTTGGACATGTAATAATTTGGCTAAACTTTGTTTTGAGGTAACTTGTTATTTCTGTCACCTGTGTGATCACATTATGACCCTGATATACTCTCAAAAACCTCAGAAAACCATGTAAATTCCATGGTAAATGAGACTGAAGTATGATAGCATGGCTTGGCATAAAATATGCTGACATGATATACAACAACCTTCAGATTTTTCATGTGTTAGAATAGTAATTATTGTGTATTGTCAATTATCCACACTGTCTAATGCTATTTACAATGTCCATCATGCTTATTTACACTGTTTTACGTGTATTTTGTTTGGACATGTACCTTTGTTGAACCGTATTTTGAGGTAAATGTTTATTCCTGTCAGAAATCACCTGAGGGGATTTTAACGGTTAGATCACATCATGACTCTTTACAGTGTGATATACTCTCAAAAACCCTTTTAAACTATGGGAATACCATGGTAAATGACACTGAAATTTGATAGTATAGCTTCATATAGTAAAATGTTGACATGATAAGATATTTTAACAGCCTTCAGTAATTTTTAGATGTTAAATAGTAATTGTTTATTGTCGATAATCCACACTGTCTAATGCTATTTACAATGTCCATCATGTTTATTTACACTGTTTTACGTGTATTTTGTTTGGACATGTACCTTGGTTGAACCGTATTTTGAGGTAAATGTTTGTTCCTGTCAGAAATCACCTGAGTGGATTTTAATGGTTAGATCACCTCATGACTCTTTACAGTGTGATATACTCTCAAAAACCTCGGAAAACCATGGAAATACCATGGTAAATGACACTGAAATTTGATAGTATAGCTTCATATAGTAATATGTTGACATAATGAGATATTTTAACAGCCTTCAGCAATTTTTATGATGTTAAATAGTAATTGTGCATTGTCGATAATCCACACTGTCTAATGCTTTTTTACAATGCCCGTTATGATTGAGTAGGCATAAACCATTAAATCAGAGTAGGTTCATGTTTATTTACACTAATTTACTTTGATTTCTTTCAGGCATTAACCTTGGTTGAACTGTTTTTTTTTTTTTGAGGTACAGAAATCACATATTATTAGTAATCACATTAAGACTCTTTACATTGTTATATACTTTCAAAAACCTTGGAAAACCATGATTATGCCATGGTAAATGAGACTGAAGTATGATAGTTTTGCATTAAATATGCTGACATAATGATATAACTTAACAACCTTCAGTATATCTTAACTAGTAACTGTTGTGCTTTTTCGATTATCCACACTGTTTAATGCTATTTACAATGCCTATTATAAATGAGTAAGTAAAACCCATTAAGTCAGAGAAAGTTTCATGTTTATTTACACAATTTTATGTGTATTTTATTTGGACATGTACCTTGGTTGAACTGTGTAACTTGTTATTCCTGTCAGATATCACCTGAGTGGATTTTAACAGTTCGATCACATTAGGACTCATTACAGTGTGATTTTCTTGCAACAACCTTTGAGAACTATGTAAATACCATGGTAAATGAGACTGAAGTATGATAGTAAAGGTTCATATATGCTGACATAATGATATTTATTTTAACAACCTTCAGTATTTCTAGATGTTAGAATAGTAATTGCTGTGGGTTGTCGATTTTTCACAATCTGTAATGCAATTTACAATGCCTATTATAAATGAGTGGGTAAACCATGTTAAGTCAGTATTTTATTTGGATATGTACCTTGGTTGAACTGTGTTTTTGTAGTAAAAGGTTATTCCTGTGTGTAATCACTTGAGTGGATTTTTAATGATTAGATCTGGTAAAAACTCTGACAATCACAAAAAAGACTCTTTACAGTGTTATATATTTTCAAATGCCTTTGAGAACCATGTAAATACCATAGTAAATCAGACTTAAGTATGATGGTATTCATGCAATATATTAATTTTTGCAGAATTGCACAGTTTATTTCTACACATTTCAGCAAGTAGTGATTATCCAGGTAAACACATTTCTGAGTAAACACAGTCATTGTTGTTGCAGGTAGCAGCAGCTGAGTTAAAATTAATCAGCTTGTATTCTTACATCTTCGTTATCATATGATTTAAAGTTCTAAGACGTGAATGTGCCTCAATGTCCACAATGCATTTGCTGGCCTAAGAGGAATGGAGATTTATGCAGGAGAAAATGTCAGATCTGAATTGTCTTACTCAAGCGTACTCCACAAACGTAAAGAGCTGATCAGTCTTCATTTCATCTGTCTCCGACTGGAATTGTTTTGTTTACTGAAGCAGCTTGTGATGTTTTTGTGCCGGAGGTGACATCAATGAGTAACACTGCAAAAAAACGAGCATTTTCTATGACATGCATTGATGTTTCAGCTCCATGAGGAATAATGGGACGCTTATCCCTGTGGAATTGTGGTTGACAATCCTCCATTGATCACCTGATAACAAATACTATCTTCAGCATAAGAATATTTTTGTGAGTAATATTGCAGCTATATGCCAATTCCAAATTTGCTTCTACATCAATAATAGTGCAATTTAGACATTCACACAATAGACCTTTTACGCAAAAACCGGAAGTACGTCAACAACGTGTAAACCCAGTTCCGGTATGAGTTTTTTGGCGGAGAAAAGGCAGCTGGAGTGTTTTCGGCGAGCCTGAGTTGTCTTCCGAAGTTAATTAAATAATTAATTAAATACATGCAATTAAAATAGGGGAGAGCGGGGCAGAACCAAACACAGGGCCAGTTGTAACACATTTGTTTTAAATACTTCCACACATGCTAGTATGATAAAACGTCATGTATTTACTAGATGTCACAGCAATAAATTGTTTCATTATTAAAAAAATATATTTTATTTTATTAGTTGAGTTTCGTGAACAGCTTATATTATTAACATTAATTTGTTCAGGTAGATATGCATAACGGTACACACAGGTGACTAGCGTTAACTAAATACACTATGAACAATCTTAACTGCAGGTGGGATAGTGGTAAAGTTGGTTTTATATTTGCACATTCAGACTTTCCCTTTAACAATATAATTTCTTTAAAGTATTATTTGCAAATTCTAAATAGCGAAATCATATTAGCAGCCAATGACTATCAAAGTACGGCATTGTTCACAGTCAAATAACCAGTGTTAACGTTGTTTTTAAGTCATGTTTGCATCGTAATTTCGTTCGAATATTCAAAGTAACATGGTAAATAATATAGAGACTTCTAAATGAAGGAATGTGTGAATATAAAACCAACTTTACCTCAATGCAGGTGGGTGTGTCACGTAGTCGTGATCCATCCTTGCTGCCTAGCCACCGTGTAGCTATCTTCACAGCATAGCTGTTTAGACTGACGTTCGTAGGTTCTGTCTTATACTCACTCCCTTCTCAAAGGAGCTGTAAAGTTGTTCCAAGGGAATAAGCTCGGGACAACACCACTCTTCAGGCGGCGAACGACTCAGCCACCACTGTAATCATCCAGAAAGAATTGCCGGCTGCAGACATAGGTGCTACCTGTTTTACATTAAAACTATGCCCTTCCTCTCTTCAGATCGGGGGTAGTAGCTGAAAGCTGATTCACCCTGCTTTGACTCTTGGAATTTCTAATTTCCTTGATCTGAGTGATCTGTTGGGTTTGTATTCAGTGCGCATTTCTGTAATATATGACGTTCATATGCCATTTAGTGAATTATAGACAGGTAGTAATACTTTAAAATCTATTCTGAATGTTACTGGGAGCCAGTGTAAAGACCTGAGGACCGGTGTGATGTGCTCTGATTTTCTGCTTCTGGTCAGAATCCTTGCAGCAGCATTCTGGATGAGCCGTCTAACTGTCTTTTTGTGAAGGCCATGAGGAGGCCATTACAGTAATCTATCCTGCTGCTGATAAAAGCATGAACAAGTTTCTCTAAGTCCTCACTGGAAACAAAGCATCTAATTCTTGCAATGTTTTTGAGATGATTTACTAACTGCTTTGAAAGGTACACATTCACCTTAATAAACCTCATCTCTGTTTACAAATGCAAATACTTAATTTTTCTCTTTGTTTACCCGAAGAAAGTTTTGGCACATTCATTCATTCATTCATTCATTCATTAATTTTCTTGTCTGCTTAGTCCCTTTATTAATCCGGGGTCGCCACAGCGGAATGAACCGCCAACTTATCCAGCAAGTTTTTACGCAGCGGATGCCCTTCCAGCCGCAACCCATCTCTGGGAAACATCCACACACACACATTCACACACACACTCATACACTACGGACAATTTAGCCTACTCAATTCACCTGCACCGCATGTGTTTGGACTGTGGGGGAAACCGGAGCACCGGGAATAAACCCACGCGAAGGCAGGAAGAACATGCAAACTCCACACAGAAATCTGAGCCGAGGTTCGAACCAGCGACCCAGCAACCTTCATGCTGTGAGGTGACAGCAGTACCTACTGCGCCCAGTTTTGGCACATATAAATCTAAATTGATATAGGATCAAGCATTTGAATATAATACTCATATAATGCCTTTCAGATGATTTTTTAACAAGCAGTTAGTTAATCTAATACTCATTGTAATAATAACCTGTATATTG